ATAGTGCCTTCCGTGGACCTGTTTACTCTGTAGGTGAACTGGTGTGGGTTAAGCTTGGTGGGAGGCTGGCTTTAATGTGCTGCAGGACCAGCCTCTCAAAGCACTTCATTATGACAGTGCGATCGGATGGTAGTCATGGAGGTAACTGATAACTGGCAGATTTCAGACAAGGTGGAATGATAGATTTAGACAAGGATAGATTGAAGACTCTTGTGAAGACCATAGAGAGCTGGTTTGCACATTCCTTCAATACCCTTCTTTTTACACCATCAGGGCCAGCAGCTTTCTTCGGGTTAACAGTTTTGAACATGCGTCTCACCTCATTCTCCTGTACTGTCAGGGTGTGATTGTTGGGAGCTGGTGGCAGGACTCCACACGTGTCAGCTCGAAGCGACTAAAGAAACAATTAAGCTCCTCTGCCAGTGAGGCATCTCCTTTGGTGGCTGTGTGGTTGCTGGTCTTATGATTTGTGATGTGCTGTATACCCTGCCACACCCGCCTTGGGTCATTGTTGGTGAAGTGATCCTCACTTTTCCTCTTGTAGTCTGCTTTGGCCTCCCTAATGTCTTTCTTCAGGTTGGTCCTGGCAGTGCAGTATAAGGCTTTGTCCCCAGACCTGAAGGCAGTGTTGCGGTCTTTGAGAAGTATTTTGACCTCCTCTCCAGGGCTTCTGGTTTGGGTACACCCAGATGTATTTTTGGACTGTGACATTGTCCACGCAGTTCCACATGTAGCAGAGTACAGCTGATGTGTACTCCTCTAAGTCTTGGTCTTCAAAGATGTCCTAATTTGTTCTTTCAAAGCAGAATCTTGAATTGGATCCACAATTGGAATTGTGGAGGCCACACTGACCATGCAGATCTGAAGAGGACAGAAACTGGTGAAATGGTTCTACAGATTGATGGAGAATGTGTTGTGTTTGGTGCTAAGTAGAACATTTTTTATGGTTCTATATAGAACTAAAAAGTGTTCTGCCATTGTTACAATGTCAAGCTTATAACAGTACAAGAACCCTTTTTGGTGCTATATAGAACCCTTTTTAAAATGTTCTATATAGAACTGCTGCCTTTACAAAAGAACCCTTGAAGAACCATCTTTTTAAGTGTGTCCAGTACAATGGAAATAGCTAATAATCCATGTTGTGCTAACATGAAGCTCTTTCTCATATTCACCTTTTCCTGCTGCTGTTTTCCTGCTGTCTCTTTCTGGCACTCCTTAAAAACTGTCTAATGTCTGTATTTGTTTTAAAAATAATGACTAATGAAGGAAACTGAGGAAGTAAAACACACACAGTAGTAAAATTATACTTAGCTAGCCTGGTTTACTGATAGCAAAACAAAGTCTCTTCTTTTTTTGCGGCCTTCTTATTCAAACTCTCCGTTCCACCTTAATTTTCAAAAACTTTCACATTTCATAAGCCTACATCCAAATGTCCAGTATGCTGGATAATGAATATTATGTATCCCAGTAAGCAAAAAAATTAAATATCATATTCTTATTACGCAGCAGAGAACGTTTCATAACAAAACACTGTTCTCAAAGTGTTCACTCTCAACTGAGGAGGTTAAACCATCAGGATATGTTTAAATTTTCACTCTCTAACTCTATTCTTTGCAGAAATCCTGTCGTAGTTCTGCCCACATGAATGAGTGCATGGCGTCCAGCATTTCTCTATTCTTCTCTCTATTGTACAGGGAGATTCACTCAAAAGAGGCCCAGAATATTCTGCTGTAACTCCTGTTAGGATGAAGCAATCTGAACCAAAAAATATGCTACATTTCTTGACATATGTGTAATCGATTGCATTACATGCGATGCTGGAAGTGAATCTCCGTTTTCTGTCAGACGCATGAAGGGCTACGGGGGACTGCACCTGGAAGTAGCAAAAGGAGGTTAAACCAGAGCCGGTTTATGAGGAGTCTGGCCACTTCCTATTCCCTCCGTTTTATCAAAAACAGGCATGCTAAACAGCAGAGGGCGCCTGCGAGGGAGTCCTCAATGAATGGGAGTGAATGGAGCTCAACGGCTAAAAACGAACAGTCGCCCAGAATTTTCCTTTAATTTTAGACAGTAGAAGGATGAATTTCACTAACAGAGAAACAAAAAAACAGAGAAATCTCACCTGTACGTTTCCTTTTTTCTACAGCAAACGGGTTTAGGGCAGCAGAAGGCAGGCTTTACTGCTAGAGCGTGATGACTGATTGGCGAGCGAGCAGCTCATTGGCTGTTCACGCTCACTGACGTCATAAACGTACATGAGGCGCTATTTTAAACTCCTATAACTCGAGTTTAAAAGCTCTTAAAAATATAAGAGCGGTGTTAAAATGTTTTATGATATTCACTGTTCATGAAATGATTGTATTGTTTTACATTAAAAATACTGAAGTATTTATAAACTATGATTTTACTTAGATGCTCCATAACAACCCATTCATTTTGGACTCACTCGGGAGCGCCCTCTAGCGTTGAGAAACCCGGAAGACATTGCAGAGTGGCAATTCTCTCTACAAATTCTCTGGTTAAACATTGTGACGGCTGTCTGGCACCTACCTTATTGCTCCGACCCAGGGGCATCCTGGCTTGGTCGAAGCTCCGTATACTGAGGAGCTCATTGCATGTTGTTTTGGTCAGATTGCTTTTTCCTAGAGAGAGTTATTACAGAATATTCGGGGCCTCTTTCGAGTGAATCTCCCTGTAGGTTTTACAACCACATTTTTACAAACAAAGCAAAAATTAATCTGAGAAAACACACACACATTCTCTAAGCCGCTTACCCTTCTGGGTTGCGTGGGGTGCTGGAGCCTATCCCAGCAGTCACTGGGATACTTTGGACAGGTCGCAGGCATACACAGGACACACAGACATAAATTCACACACACTCACACACCTGGGGCAATAGAGCATGTCCAATCAGCCTGACTGCATGTCTTTGGACTGTGGGAGGAAACCCACACAGACACAGGGAGAACAAGCAAACCCCCCACAGAAAGGACCCAGGTCACCCGGCCAGGGAATCGAACCCAGGCCCTTCTTGCTATGAGGCGACAGCCTCTCTGAGGAAACCAAAAAAGGGGAAAATCGAATAAGAAAAGTTGAATTTTGGGAAAAATTTTACGGATTTTATAGGGCCCTTCCTTTTTTTTTATCAAATTTTTCAAAATTATTATTTTTACAAAGAAAAACACCCAAAACACTGTTCATAATAAAAGTCAGTAAAACTTACTGATGACTCCACTCATTTTATTCAGGGATGAAGACAATAAACATAACTTCAGCAACAAAATTAAGTACGCCTTACGATGCATGACGCATTCTTTTTAAAGAAAGTTTAGTCAGCGAAACTCCACCATTTCAGAGTCTTTAGTCATTCCTCCCCATCTCCCCATTTTGGTCCTTCTGGTAGATTCCAGTTTTGATATTCAAGGCCAGAGCCTGTGGTCATGAAGCTTCTCAGAGCAGGAGTGCTGATCCAGGATCTGCTCTTGTCAGCAAAGTCAGAGTAAATAAGAGAGGAATCCCACCCTAGTTCAGCACTCTGAGCCTGACAAGCTCCAGAACGAGGCCAAACCTTTTGCAGTGAAAATTCGTAATGTGTAATTTTCAGGCTAAACGTAGTCTGTGTTGGGAGGGTACTTCACAAAGCAACAGGTATCTCAGTTAGCAAATTCCCTCAAGCCAAATGTTCAACTCCATTTGGCTTATCGCGGCATGACAGTCTTTTGATTGTAATATTTATTGTTGGCTTAGGTTTGTCCAGTAAGCGCAGAAATCCTTCTTTGTGCAATACAGCTTTGGAGGTTGGCACTACACTCTAGTGGCTCAAAGCAAAGCAAAACAAACTTACACATATGGATACAACCACATTTCCAGCATTTTGCACATAAACACTGCTCTGGATGGATACATATCTTCCAAAAAACCCAGTAGTAGTTTTGGTCAAAAAGGTACAACTTCAGACTCTGAAATCTGGCTTGATAACACCAACAGAATCGACTCCTTGGTCCAGTTAGTGCACAATGCTGAACTACATTCACTTACTGTTACACGAAAGACTATGAAATGGAGTCAGGAAGAAGGAGGAGACATTTCTGACAGACTTTGACTGAACTTGTGCACAAATATTACTAAACAAAATAGGAAAAACACTTAAGACAGACAATACAGACTGATTTAGGTCAGTAACTGTCAGGAAAAGTTAAACTGGAACTGATTGTTTACAATTTCTGCATAATTAAATGGTTAAGATGATGTTCAGAGTGGTTTGGTGTGAAATGCTCTGTTCTAGAATAACTTACTGAGTCAGAATTGTTCAGAGTGATTGTGATAGGAACCAGACATCCACCTCTAAAAGCTCCCTCATAGAAAGATTTTGCCTAAAAAGCACTATTTTAATACATAGAGATCCACTACTACTGTTTTAACCTCATCAACATTCCATGTAAACTCAGAAGACAGATGTTGGTTCACTGGTGGTTTTGGATAGTAAATAAAATGTCTATATTTGTATTGTAGTCATGGCGACCCCTGGTTCCTATCAGCACCACTGTAAAGACAACTGAGCCTCTACAATGAACCATTTCACACCAAACCACTTAAGTTAAAGGGAGAGCGTGATGTGGACAGCAGTGTCAGTCATGGAATCTAAACAGCTAAAAGTCTGCATGAACCTGCCTGTTTTTAGACATCAGTGGAGTGTTCAGCCTCTAGTGCCTGGAGGCAGAAACATTAAGGCCTTTGATTAAGCTTATCAGAGAAGTGCTGATCCACACTCAAAGATTCAAGGGTTCTTCGGTAAAGAAAAGAAAATGGTTCTATACAGAGGTTCTTTGCATCATGAAATGGTTCTTCAGATTGATGGAAAATGTGCATGAATGTGCTATAGATGGTTCTATACAACCTTTTTGAAAAGGGCTCTATATAGCACCCAAAAGGATTCTTCTATTGTTATATACAACACATTGTCCATCAATCTGAAGAATGCTTTCACCATGCAAACAAACCTTTAAGCATGCAAATGGTTCTTTAAGTGTTCATGGTTCTACACGGAACCATTATGTTTATTAAAGAACCCTTGAAGAACCATTTTTTAAGTGTCATCAGCTTTTTTACTCAACCAAAGAGGAGTTTTCCAGAGAGTCAGCAAGGCATTTCACTGTCTATAAAGTAGTGTGAACCAAATATTTTCTAAAAAAAAAAGTTATGCTGAATTCACATGTTGGCGTTGAGAGAACTGATGCGACCATAGTAGAGTAAAGCCATGCAAACGTTGGCATGGTGACAGAGTTTCCTACGAAAACAGATGAGGATTGTTTATTTAAGGTGGGAGTAGACAGGAAGATGCTCTGTTCTCTTATTTTTTGTTGTATAATACAGGGTTTATTTGGAATTCGACAAGATGTTTGGCATCCATGGCTCTCAAAAAATCAATATCTGGTTTATTTCACTGTCGCAGTGAACGGCTATAGATGGGAAAACGGAACTTTTGATGATACGTTCCACTCGCTGCTGCGGCACCACTGAAAACGATGGTATATCCAGCTCCACCGCCAACATGTAAATGCAGCACTACTGTCCTAAACAGGTCAAATAAATCATTGTTAAAAACAAATCACATTTTTTATTCTACATCATTTTGATATGACATGATATTTAAGCAAAGTAATCAATTAAGCTCAAGCATATCTTAAACGTGTGCTGACAGTAATTCACTCCTATTTCTAGGACATATTTAGGAATTCTGATTAAATGTCCAACCCACAAGCCCCACACTGCTGGTCCCTGGGGGAGCTGTTTGCGCGGATGAATGCAGGGTCTTTGGACTTTTTAGTGCAGTTCTCTTTCAAAAGGCCTCCATTTTCACTCATCACACATGCATCAATAGTTGTCAAAGGTAACATTTAAACATCGTTCTCTTTTGTACTTTACATCCCCTGAGTCTCAAAAATTCTAACAGCCAAACACCCCGTCTTCAGCTCTCTCTCTTCCCCCTGCTGTGTATCTGTTCTTTAACCTCCGTCCTTCCTCACTCATACTCTGCGATCAGCACCATCATCCCGACTCCGAACAGCAGAGCGATGATCTCCATCACCGACTGGCCCACACTCGAGCGGCCAACCAGCAGCTCTGGAAGGACGGTAACTGTGGCAATGTAAACAAAGCCGCCGGCCGTGAAGGGGAGGATCCAGGCCGTGGCGGCGGCTCCAACCCCCTCTGCCAGAAGGGAGCAGGCCGTCCCAGCTAACGCACCAATAGCAGTGAGGAGCTGAAGAAACATCGCCTAAAAGATGAGGACGAACACAGAAGAAGAGAGTAAGAAAAAGGAGTTTACCTTAAAACAACAAATTGGTAAAACACTAGTCGGTTCTCATAGGCGATGCGTTAGATGTGGGAGAAATGGGCAAGCATGAAGACCTGACAAGGACCAAATAGTCAAGGCCAGATTACTGGGTCAGAGCATCTCTGGAACAGCAAGGCTTCTAAGGTGCTCCTGGTCAGCAGAGGCAAGTACCTACCGACAGCCGTCCGAGGATGGACTAACCACAGACCAGCGACAGGGTGTTGGGCGCCCAAGACTCCCCAGATCTCAATCCCATTGAGCATCTGTGACACGTGCTGGAACAAGTCTGATCCACGACGGCTCCACCTCGTGACTTACAGGACTTAAAGGATCTGCTGCTAACGTCTTGGTGTCAGACACCACAGCGCACCATCAGAGGTCTTGCAGAGTCCATCCATCAATTCTAAACATCAGTCTAATGAAGCTAATTTTTCTTTAATGCAGTTATCTGCCAATATTGACAGTAGGTATCATCATGCATTTCTAGTTACTGCCAGGGATGATAATAATGAGTTCTAAGGATTAACACCTACTGCAAACTGACAAAGCCAGGCATGCGGTTTCAATCAACCAAATGGTAGACAATACGCAAACATGAGCACATTCGTGTTCTGGCACACTGTAAGGCACCACACCTTCCTCTTGGTGCATCCTGATTGGACGAGGATGGCGAAGTCTCCAATCTCATGCGGCACTTCATGCAGGAGGATGGTGATAGTGGTAACCACGCCGACCGCTGGACTAACCAGGAAGGAGGCTCCGATAGCAAGACCATCCGTGAAGTTGTGAGTGAAATCGGCCGCCAGATTCAGGTAGCCAGACACTTTAATGTCTAAAAGGAAAGAACAACAGAGATATTCCTTAAACAGTTCAGCAAATCATCTGAGATCATATGACTGCGATGGCCCTACGCTGACTGGTGGGGAGTAAGCTTGTATTACTTGTTTTTAACCTCTTACCTGAGCTCTCCGCTTTTGCTTTCTTCACCTTCTTGTCTTTTTTTTCTTTCTCTCCTTTTTTCACGTCGTCCTTTTTCTCTTCTCCGTCACTGTCTTTTGCTTTCGGGGCAGCTGGGAACACGGAAATATTAAAATTTTATTCAATTCTCAATGCCAAGCGAGGTCATTTGCCATTCATTGTCACATATGTCCAAAGTACACTATATGGACATAAGTATTGGGACACCTACACATCACACCTACAGGAGCTTTTATGGCATCCCATTATAAATCCATAGGCATTAATATGGAGTTGGTCCCCCTTTACAGCTAAAACAGCTTCCATTCTTCTGGGAAGCTTTCTACAGATTTTGGAGAGTCTGTGGGAATTTCTGCCCATTCACCCAGAAGAGCATTAGTGAGGTCAGACACTGATATTGGACAAGAGGGTCCGGCTCACAGTCTCCGTTCTAGTCTAGGTGTTTAAAGGGGTCGAGGTCAGGGCTCTATGAGGGCCAGTCAAGTTCGTCCACACCAAACTCACCCAGCCATGCCTTTATGGAGCTGCTTTGTGCACTGGGGATCAGTCATGCTGGAGCAGAAAACGTTCTTCCCCAAACTGTTCCCACAAAGTCGGAAACATACAATTGTCCAAAATGTGTTGAATTAAGATTTCCCTTCACTGGAACTAAGGGTTCTAGAGCAACCCCTGAAAAACAGCCCCATATCATCATCCCTCCTCCACCAAACTTTACAGCTGGCACAGTGCAGTCAGGCAGGTAACGTTCTCCTGGCATTCGCCAAACCCAGACTCGTCCATCAGACTGACAGATAGAGAAGCTGATTCGTCACTCCACAGAATATGTTTCCGCTTTACACCACTCCATCCGACACTTGGTATTGTGTATTTTGATCTCAAGCTTGTGTGCAGCTGCTCAGCCATGGAAACCCATTTCATGAAGCTCCTGATGCACAGCCCTATTCCTGATGTTGCTTCCAGAGGCAATTTGGAACTCATTAGTGAGTGATTAAACAGAGGATAGACACTGTTACCTTTAGCACTCAGTAGCCCCATTCTGCGAGTTGCATGGTCTAACGCTGGCTGAACTGTTGTTGCTTCTAGGTGCTTCCATTTCACAATAATAGCACTTACAGTTGTCTAGGACAGATCTAGCAGGACAGAAATGTCACAGACTGACTTGTGGCAGAGGTGCCACGTTTAAAGTCACTGAGCTCATCAGTACGACCCATTTTACTGACACTGTCTATCGAGACTGCAAGGCTATGTGCTTAATTTTATCCGCCTGTTGTAATTTATATATACACACTACAAACTTACCAAGGCAAACTGCACAGGCTATGGTCTTCCTTTCTCTTATGTTGCTGGAGGATCCCTATATTTTTCTCTTTAACAAAACTTCACACCAAGACTGTGTTACCGGGTGTTTCATTTTAGATGGGAAAGCATTTTGGATGTGTTTCCAGCTCTGGCTAGGACTGTTTTCAGGCACTCCGTCCCTGGACTGAAATATGAATGGTGGAATGTGCTTATTTGACTGTTTACTAGATAGACGTGCAACAGAAATTTGACATCATAATGTTGAATTAGAGTGATCATTTGAAAATACTGTCATCTTTTTGAAACAGCGCAGGATACTTTATTATAGTTATACTGCCCACAGTAACAAGGTTCTTACCATGAGAGTGAGAGTGTGAATGAGAGTGTCCCCCCTTCAGCAGACGAACAAACTTCTCCACCACCAGGAACGCCACGATACCTCCCAGCACCCACAGACCTACAGACATCATGTGATCATGAGCCGCACCTGGAAAGGGAACAAACCGCTGTGTCAATGAAAACACAAACAAGTACATGTAACACTCGCAACTAGTCATCTGCCCATGCGTAGAGTGAGATCAGCACAACCATCATCTTCCTCCTGTATTTCATGTAGCCAATCACATACCATGAGAGTGACCATGTGACGCCTCGCTAGCATGGGAGTGACCGTGGCCCTCGTCTCCATGGTGAGAGTGGGGTTCTGTAAAGGAGGAAAGAGTGAAAAAGAACTGAGTTGCTGAAACTTTAACAAAAGAGCTTTTCTTACAGACGTGAGAATTCTCCACTCCAGCGGTAATTAGCTAGTTTGAGGCTATAAATGAATGTGGTTGTTTGATTATACAGATATCTGAACTGTTCTTAGCATTTGGTTACTTAAAGGCACATTTCAGCCTAAAGCTAGAGTTTAATATGTCATCAGTGCAGTCAGGCAGGTAATGTTCTTGAAGAAATTGTGTGACATCAAATTGACCTATTTTGAATGTATAAGCTAGCTGTCCTTTTAATTTTTGTTCCAAATATTTGATATATTAAGCTACAGTCCTACCAAAATTCATATTTCGTTATTTATAACAAACAGGTAGTTGCTTCTCTCGTTCTGTGTAGTTTTTTTATTATACACATGGTATATGAAGAGGAAACTGATTGTTGTATTTTTTGTCCTAGTGTGTTTTGTGCAGCTCAACTAGCATGAATAAAAAACTGCAAGAACTTTTCAGTCTCAGGAGAAAAATGTACCCTCTGGTGGACCTCTGTTACACACACTACAGTGCAATGTATTTTCTCCTGTTAACTGCAAAGTGAAGAGCTACGAAGCAATCAAGCTGATAAGCCAATTTAGCTGCTTTATGTTGCACAGCATGAACAATCCAGAGAACTAAATTGTTAATCCCAATTATTTATATAACAATTAGTCATCAGCTAAAGTGCTATGAGTGCAACAGCCCTAATAATAACAACATAAAATATTTTTCTGGTTAAAGTCATTGAGTAGCATTCATTTAACAATTTTAATATTCAAATATTGGAAAATACTGAAATAACCATTTCCACTTGTGGCTGAGGTGGAACTCAGCATTACTTAATGTTTATTTTGTGTGTGTGTGTGTATGTACTAACCAAGAGCATGTGGGATGAGGTGCAGAAAGGCGTCCCCCAACAGCCCCCCAGAGGCAAAGCTGAGCAGAACCTTCAACAGGTTCTGGTGTTGATCCGTGTTTGACTGGACAGGGATGAGGAAGAGGATGAGGAACGGCGCAGCGCTGATCAGCAGAGTGGCTCCGATTGCCTAAAACCAGTTAGAACAGGATCATTAAAGAAAGACATTTCTGTGACCACACAGAATAAATATCACAGAAATATCACAGAAAATTTAAATATCACAGAATTACATGAATTAAGCTAGTGAACACATTTAGGGTACGTTCACATTACTAGGCAGAATTGGCACAAATCAGGTTTATTTCACTGCGCATGCACCATCCGTCAGTGTTGATGCGGCAGCAGCGCCAAACCTGAAGTTAGAGCTAGTAAACACTGCAAAAGCATAGGAGCCTTTTTCACCTTTGTCTCTTTCAAATAATAATGAGCTAAGAGCTGCTCAGAGTCAATTATCTTCACGACGAAAGGCTTGTTCTGCTGGTTTGTTTATTTGCTCATGTTATTGATTAGGACGTTCATTCATATAAATGTGCGTTCATATAATGTATTTGAGTCATTCACCTACACCACTGTGAACGAACCATCATTTAAAAAGAGCAGATCTGAGCAAAAAAAATCAAAACTGATCAATGAGGCTCGTAATGTGGACAGTCCCACAACGGGGAAATTCTCAGTGTTACAGCAGCAACGGGACAGCACGGCACTCAAGAAAAGAAAAGAAGTAACAAGAAGAGATTCAACAAGCAAATAATTAACTTTGTTAATTACTTAACAAAGTTACTTTGTTACTTATTGCTGTATAGACATACATACATACATATATATATATGTCGCTGTTGTCGATACAAAACCTTGTATCTCCAAAATGGTAACTTTATAGGAGAAGAAAAAAACATACTTTACTTTTACTGTAAGTCAATGGAACCAGACTTTTAACGAAGGAATTTTTAGCCATTTCTTTTGCTCCATTTATATATTATATATATATATATATAAAACTTTGTATCTCCAATTTTGTCATTTTTCAGCTTTTGACATAATCTGAAAATGCCTGTTGCTCTTTACATTGTGTATAAATTTTATGTACACACACACACACACACACACACACACACATACATATATATATATATATATGTTTGTACAAAAAAGCAAGAAACTTTACACTATAGAGATATTACATATTTTTCTATTTATACATTACCTGCATCCAAAAATGTCTTGTTAAAACCTGTTTCAGACAGATTTAAATCTAAATTTCTACTGCTTTCTGTATGTTAAATATACACTACAATAATGACCAAAGTCGGCTAAAAGGTTTTGTTCAAACATGTTTTGGACAGACTTAAGTCTGAACACTGAACAGCACTTAAGCATCATTTAGATCTAATACTGATCTATATGTCAAATCTCTGAAACACTAATCTATATCACTGCTGACCTCTGGTGGTTGAACTGTATTACTGCAATATGTGCCTTTTTCAGCAGTTCACAGAAGTAATGCCAGTTTCAACAGTGCATTACTTCACCACCATCAGCTGTGCTCATATTTTACAAGCGTGGCCCAAAGCATTGCTAGACCAGTACATGGTTGAGTGAACCAGTGACTGATTTCTCTACCAAGACGATGTATGCGCGAACTTGCGTGAACTTTTGCGGAGATTACTAGGAGACCCAAATAAACAAAGATGAAGCTGCTGCTGCTGTTTTCTCTGCCGTTTGCGCCAACACAGTAAAGAAGCATCAAGTAAACACGTTTAAGTGACGGTCATGGATATAAAAATGTGATCAGTTTGGTATTTTTTAGAGTTTTAGGTAACACTTTACTGTAGGGTGCTGTTCATAAGGCTACATGACACCTACATAAGCTTGTCCTTACAACTGACATAACCCTACATAACTGTTTATAAATGCTTATTACAACAGGCGTCATCTGTCATAAAGGCTACTTTAGCTGACTTTGATCAAAATTGGCAAATGTAACCTTTATAGCGAATGACGCTTATATGGAACTGAACTAAAAAGGTTTAGATTATTATAAAATAATGTAGAACAAGAAGGTACAAAAGTAGTCCGGAGAGAGGCCATGAGGAGGTTATAATTTTCTGGATTGTTATCTTGAGATCACAACTTAATTATCTTGTGATCTTGAGATAATTGTGTTGTGATCTCAAAATAACAATCCACATATTATAGCCACAGCTCATAGCCTCTTCAGACTTCCGTACTAAATGACCAAACTGATTTTACATCATTTACAATGCTTTTATGCAACTGTTGGTCTAAACTATTTATGGTTATCTGGGCTGCTTGTCAATAATGCATACAGACTAGCTGGACATTTTTAGAGGTTTTGGTATTAGCCTCCTGCCCAACAAAAACAGAGCTTTAGGTCACCTAGATTTTTAAAAAACTCCATTTTCAGGATTTGATTGTGGACTGATAAAACATATATTTGAAAACAGCGACACCACATGCATGATTACTAATGTTTCATTTAGATCTCCGTATCAGACACAGCTGACGCAACTGATCTGTAATATCAAATCTCATTATATGATGTCTTTTTATTAATGTTTTATGATTAGAGGAGACATTCAGGAAAGCCCTATCTTGGACTGTCATTAACAAATAGTTTTTTCTTTGTTTCTGCATCTTGCAAAAATAGAGTTTTCAGGAGCAATGCAGAAAATCTGTTGCTGGACCACTGATGGAAGCCCATATTATGTAACATTAGGGGAGCAACGATCATTCGACTTTGTCGACTAAAATCGATGACCAAATTAGTTTGCAACTAATTTAGTAGTTGATTAGTCGGTGATGTCATTACGCATCTTTCTTGCTCACTAGGAACATTTTCACATTACATTTCACTCACTGGAGACTTAACAACAGCGCAATGTCAGTCTCAAGAACAAAATCTTAAAGTGCGGGAGCTAAACTCAGAAAAAAGGCTGTCAGTTGTGCTGTTTGTAAAGCCGACCTCAGCTGACTACGGGAGCTCATCCTCCATGTTGGAGCATCTGAAGAGGAAACTTGTCGGTTCACTGAATGAAGAAGATTCTCGGTAAGATACGCCGCGTCCCAAACCGCATACTAGCACACTAAATAGTGTGTAAAAATAGCACACATACCATTAGAGGTGCACTCATTAGTGTAGTATGTGAAGTATAGAAGTGTGTGCTTTGGGACGCGGTGATAGTTGTGCTAGCGAGCTAGTTAGCTATTTCATGTTGTGAGCTGAGCCGGAACATTTTCTGTTTCGAAATGCATGTTCTCCGAAATCGTTAACAGAGTTGGAACAGAGGAGCAAGTAACTATCATTCACAGCGACTCTGTTCACTTTAAAGATAACAGTTACACTTTTAAACACTGCATCGTCATCTTAGTGTCGAGGCTGCCGGTGCGGTCAAATTCGGCGAACACAGAGAGCGATTACAGACAGGTTTCTGTTCTCTGCGAACGTCTGCCACCACTCAAACAGTTTAAGGAGGTAGTTCTCCGTGAACACACAGGGTAGCTGGACAAAGGGTCACCGCTGAAATGAAGCGTTTACACAAAATCGTTCATTTAACTGTTCATAGAGACATTTTCCACAAACATTCGCAACTTTCCCATCAGCTTCACCAGAGCGCGTCTCCTCTGCAGCGGGGAGTGAATATCTGCTCTCAGAGAGATGCTGACTGTCCTCCGTTTCAATAAAGACTGTGATTGTAGAATTTAGTTACAGCAAAGCGTAGACAGACAGTAGAATGCAGAGAGCACAGACTGCACTGTTTAAATTTAACATTATTTACTTGATTAAAGGAAAACTGATTTAGTTTTGTTATAATTTATTGCTGCTACTTTGCACATCCTTGGTTATAAATTTTGACAGGGAAAATCCTTTGGAGTTTTATTTTTTTTTTCTTTTATATTAGCAGGAAAGTTCATTAAAACAGTGATTTCTTCAATGTTATTCATCTTTATTGTCTTCATTGTTAGTTAGCAAACGCATAAAACAACCATAATGACACTACTCTTCATTTTGCAACCTCAAGCTAAATTTAAAAGCTAATAGCTACATAAAAGTTATTTGGTACTGTAGTGATTCAAAATCCGAATAATCGATATTTAGTTTCATAATTGACAGATTATCAAATTAGTCATTTGTTGCAGCCCTATATAACATAATTAAAAGTTATATTGGGTGTTTTATGTGTTTCAATAAATGAAAAATAATGCTTTTATTTTTAATTTGTTGCTTGCCGGACTAATACCTGCAGGTTTGCACATTGTAATTAAACAATTAATCAAATAACAACTAATCAATTATAAAAGTAGCCCTGCAGGCCAGGTTTCAAGTATGAAACAGGCGGTTACCACCCAACCCCAGTCATAACGCCACTACTCTTCATTTTGCTCATTTTTTTTCTTGACATTGTTCGCTGGCCAAGTGTTTGTCAGATTAACAAACAGGAAAATGGAGTATATTACGAAACTGGAGCTAACTTCAGCCTCCACATCATAACAAACTGAAAAAATCCAACCACTAAACCACCAACCCTGGAACGAACGGAACGGAGGGACCACATCTTTACACTGATAGACATTCTGCACGGTCCCAATTAAACCAGCGTAATGAAAAGCACAGCACAACTCAGCTCAGCTTTCTGAGGGACAATGTGTTTTTGTTGGTAAGCTACAAGCACGCTAGAAGTCCTAGTATATAGTGTTCAAATAACAGGAAATGCTGATGAAGCTTTACAATGTAAACGATGGAGGCAACGTCCCATCTACCAAACAAAGAGAACTGAGAGAGTGAATGTGATAAGTGTACCGTGTTATACAGATGTTAGATAAATATACTCCAGCTGTTTGTAAATACATATATACACAAAGCCTGTAAATGTACACAAAATATATTTCCCACCAATTCACAAAACGACGCACCAATATGACATTCCTGAGCCAAGTATGAAAATCTGCATGTCCATTTTTGCTGATATTGGTCTTCTGGACAGATTACACTTTAATTAAAACAGCTTCATCAGATATGGTAAGAAAAGCATTGCACTTTCTATGCACACCAACAATGCAGAACAGGTGTTATGAATTATTATGATAATGGATTCATATTACAATCAGCTAGATAATTATTAAAGCTCCTTATACAGTTATTAACTTTATTGAATAGTCTAGTAGATACTAGTAATTATTATGAATTATTCCATAACCACTACAAATTATTCAGTAGCTGTTGTGAATTATTCAGTAACTACTACAAATTATTCAGTATTTATTACAAATTATTCAGTAACTATTATGAATTTTTCAACGACTACTTCAAATCATTCATTATTATGAATTTTTCAGTAACTAATGAATTATTCAACAAATATTACTAATTACTCAGTAAAAAAGTACTATAAATTATTCTTTAACTAACAATTTATTCATTAACTACTTAAAGTTAAACAACACAGAAAGTGTGTAATTGCAAATAAAGTCATGGCTTTGATTTAGTTGTAGGTACGAGCTGACTGGGATTACAGTAGATCATGACAGCCGTGACTATGTTCAAAAACACACAACCTGTGCTAAACTGCTTTTTTGGGAACTCCTTCTGCCAAAAAAGTCGTACCTTTTTGTGTTACAGATAGAGCCACAAAACAGCGGCAATATCAGGTTCAGCTCAGCTTTTCCAATACTTATTAGATTGAGTGGTTTTGTTCCAGTTAGTCTATAAAGCATCTCACAGCAGATCTTGTTTGCTGAATTGTTTACCGTTTGTTTCTGGCCAATTCCAGTTTGTTTAGTTGTTCTGTCTCAGCTGCTGGCCTAAAAGCTCACTTAAAAGGCTGAATGACCAGTTCAGAATTATGACGCAGTCCTGCAGTAACTCTCTTTTCAGAATCAGACTGAACAGCCTGCTGGTCAAATATTATCTTATAGAAGTTATCTAATGTGTCCATTTCCTGGACTTGTATGAGCTAAAGTAGAAACTCAGTGACTGTTATCTGCAGTGTAAAGCGAATACTACAAATGCTATAAATAAATTATTATGATGAATTACTCGGTAACTACTATGAAACTAATGTGTAAATTCGTCCTAAGGGACACTCCATTCCAGCAGCTCTACTGGAAAATAACTGGTTGCTAATGACTGCTAATGGCTATTACAGGAATCAACTGGGTTTTTAAAATTGAACAAGATTAGACCTGTTAAACTGCCAGTGGAGCCCTAGTGTTTTTTACTGGTTTAAAGAAATTATGAGTTCCAGCAGCGCTACACACTTAAAAAAAGATGGTTTTTAGTAAAGAAAACTGTTCTATATAGAACCATGAACACTTAAAGAAGCCGTTGCATGACTAAAGGGTTCTTTACATCATGAAAGAGTTCTTCAGTTTGATGGAGAACGTGCTGTAGATGGTTCTATTAGAAACTTTTGAAGCCCAAAAGGGTTCTTCTATTATTACAAACCTGACATCATGACAATCAAAGAACTCTTTTTGTGCTATACTAAACCCTTTTCAAAAAGGTTCCATATAGAAACACCTACAACACATTCTTAGGAACCTTTTCATGGTGCAAAGAACCGTTTAATCATGCAAAGGGCTCTCTGAGTGTTCATAGTTTTATATATAACCATTTTCTTTGCTAACAAACCCTTGAAGAACCATTTTTAATGGTTATTTAATGGTAAACCATAAAAGTGGTTTATGGTGTTAACGGTTTCTATAGGATTGAACTGAAATCAACTGGCATCAGCTGAACTAGTAAAAACCAGTTCACCATGGGAAGTGATACTGGTTTCACTGCAGGTGTCAATACTAATAACCAAACCAAACTGTCAGTAGAGCACCCACCAACACCAGTGCTATGCTAAATGGCATAGCACTCATCTCTAAATGGGGGTTGAATGTGTGTGAATGCGCTCAGTATTTTGGACTAATGGCCATATTCTGTTATTCTTCAGTTCACAGAATAATAAACATCTAGCACAAACCAGCCTTAATTTCAAGCTTGTCAGGGTTGGTTTATGTGGGACTGTGATACCAGAATGCCCAAGCTCACTACTGCTGGATAAGCTGGGGACTAGCAAACTCTTGAGGCTGGTGTTCCACGTCATATCAAGCTGATAATGTGTACTGGTTGATAAACAAGGCCTTGCTAGCAATTAGAAGTGGGCAATATGACAATAAGTTAATGTTATTGTGATGAACAATGAATATGCTTCTCTGAACATATTGTGGATGTTACTGGTACTTAAAGAACACTGAGCAACTGTATGTTTCATTAAAGAAAGCATAATTTAGTCCTGTTTAACTGCATTTTGTGTAGTGAAATGTTGAGTTAAATGCATGGTAGCCAGAGTTTTTGATGGCATTTCTAAATGTGGCACTAATGATTAACTGTGTCTGCGTCAAGGCCAAATTATCAATAGCAATATTGCGAAGCAGGAGCTACTCAACTGTATTAGTAAGCATGCTACATACAATGCCATATATTACGTTGGTTATCTCATACTGAAAAGAATAAACGCAAAGGCCAGCAGAGTCGCATCAGATTATTAGATTGTGCTATCACTTCAGACAACTGTCTGCTGAGGCTGATGAAGTATCGCTATTATTGTGTGTCATTGTTTTTTTACCTGCATCCACAGCTCCACTGTGTTCCGTCTCTCGCCCTCCGCCTCTCTCTTCACCCTCTCTCCACTGGTACCATGGCTGTGGGTGTGCCCCTGGTCGTGTGAATGTCCGTGGTCGTGTGAATGTCCATGGTCGTGTGAATGTCCATGGTCATGTGAATGTCCATGGTCGTGTGAATGTCCATGGTCGTGTGAATGACCGTGGTCGTGTGAATGACCGTGGTCTTGGTCATGTTCATGGTCGTGGTCTTGGTCATGTTCATGGTTGTGGTCTTGGTCATGTTCATGTCCGTGGTCATGGTCATGTTCATGTCCGTGCTCATGGTCATGGTCATGTCCGTGGTTGTGGTCATGTTCATGTCCGTGGTCATGCTGAAGCTCCTCCTCCTCCGTATGCTGCAGGTTTGCTTGTGCGCTCCACTTGCTGGCACCGTGGTGCATCATCACACCACCACCATGGGAGTGTCCATGGCAACCACCGTCGCCATGAGAATGCCCGTGATGGTGCCCATGGCAACCACCCTCGCCATGAGAATGCCCATGGTGGTGTCCGTGATGGCCGTGTGAGTGGGCATGACCGTGGTCATGGGAGTGGGAGTGAGCATCGGTTAGCTGGGATGCTAACACTGCTAACCCAAACACCAGCAGCAGCACAGACAGGGGAAGGGCCCTCATCTCACCTGGACAAGGAATGAAAACAAAGCATTCACCTCACAATCCTGGAGCAGGAAACGGTGCCCTGGAGCAAACAGAGCGTGCAAACACTGCCACGTTTAAGTGGGTGAGGTCTGTCGCCGTAAACTAACACCCAGCAGCAGAAACTAGACTGGAGCTTCAGACAAGCTCGAAAAAATCCCAGAGGAAGGACACAACTGTCTTATTTTATCAATATATAAAAGACTGACTGATTTTATAATAAAAGCCACACAAAGAAAGGCTTTGAGGGCGGCTCCATCAGTGACTCTCGGCTTTTTCAAACTCATATGTTGCCAGTTTACCATTATAAACACACAGAAGAGAGATGGAACAATACAATGCATACACAGTCCAACAGGCTTACTTTTCAAATAAACTTACAGACCTCAGTGCTCATGTTTAGGAGGAGAAATCTCAGCCTGGATGCCCTAATTCAAACCTTATGTCAGTAAATGTATTACAGCTAAGGTAGCACAAGGCATGGTTAGGTTTAAACAGCACTCATTGTGCAGATTTAGGCCAGTTTAGGTCAGTCACAGCCTATTTAGTGCCTGAAACCCCCAATTTTCTGTTTGCTTCATTCAAACAGCGCAGCTAATCTGCGGCTACAGTGGCTGGAAGGAAGAAAGTGGAGGTTATGTTATGTTGTTGTCTGCGTTGCGCATTGAAAATGATTTGTGCACGGTGCCAAAGCCAGTGTGCAGGACTTAAATCAGAACAGTGATAGAAGCGAAGCAGCTAACCTAACAGGCTACAGGGCTGATGATGATAGAGCGGCTAATGATAGCCTGCTAGCTTAACTATATGTTGCTGCTGGACAAAAACAAGTAACTAATCCTCCGTTTTGGCGCTGAGCTCGTACGTACTCACCTGTCTGCGGACCGCGCTCGGTACCGTAAGGCTACTCGTCTAAAAGATTTCCTAAAAACCGCCAGAAACCGCCGCACAGCTGATGCTCTGCTTCTCTCTGAAAACCGACGTGGCGTTTATTCAAGCGAGGAAATATCGCGAGATCTCCCTAAGGGGGCGCCGCAAACTGCTGAGCTCCAAATCTCGCGATGAGACGATCACAAGTTCCTGAATGAATACAAAGCTGCTCTCTTTCCTTCTGTGGCCCTTTTCCTTTGTTTTTAGTGGAAATGTGATCAAATGGAAAGGTTTCAGAAGAAAGAGCAAGACAGAGGGCAAGTAGGGGATCTTGGATTGCTTTGTAATTTTTACTTTAACAAGAAACTGACATAAGCAGAGAACACCTGTACAGAAGAGTTTAAAGTGGTGGTATAACGTCTCACAGTCTATATATTTTCAGGAAGCTGAGCAACCAGACTTGATGTAACAGTATGAGGTTGGCGTTGCACCATCTAAAGAAATCACTGCCCCCTGTATTACTTTAACACAGGGGTTCTCAACCTTTCTCAGCTTTTTCTACTTAAAAACCTTTTTAGCACAGTGTATCCACTGTTGCAACATGTAACATGCATTAGTGAACCTAAAAAAACAGAACAGCAGCAAATGAATTGAAATGTTCCTACAAAAAAGGGGGGAATATTTGTTCTTTAGAGTGAAGAAGCAAAAAATTGACATCTTTTGTGCTCTGTTTTCACAGGCCTCGTATTAATGTTGTTTACAGTTTGGAAACATTTGATACTTTTTATCATTAAGTCAGTTCTTTTTCATTTTTATGGCAAACTGCCATCGCAGACCCAGTATGGACCACTCAGTATTGACCTGAGGACCACCAGAGGGTGTTTCAATGCCCACTTGTGGCCCACACAAGTGGGCATTGAAACTCAGTGATCTGAGGTCATCCTTCCATACAGAATCTCTCCAGTCCATTCAGGGTCTTTAGTGCTCACTAATGGAGCAGATGTAAAAATTAGTTGGGTCAGTTTGGGGTGGCCTCTGTGGCCACTGTGGTGAAGATACCCTTTTTGTCTGGCAGAGGGAGCCAAAGCGTCGTGTAAGATCTCCAGTCCATCATTACATGTTTCCTACCAGGGTTATTATAGATAAACAAAACAATTACTAAAATGAAAACTATCAGTGAAGAAATGTGCTTGTTGTAATAAAAATTAAAAGTAAACAAACAAATAAATAAATAAATAAAAACTAATAAAAATACAAATGACCCTTTTTAAAAACATGAAAATGAAATCAAAACTGTAATGTTCAGTGCAAAACTAACTACAATGCAATGGAATTGCTAAGGTTTTTTTTTTCAGTGTGTGAATGAGAGTTTAGAAGTGGATCCCTTCTGTGTTCGGCCCTCTGTAAGGAAAGCTGGAGTCTACAGTTGTGTTAATTCTATTCTACACTTACCAAATACCAAATACCCACTTCACAGCACTCATCATAATACAAAAAAACTAAAACAAAAACAGAAACTAAATAAAAACTAAACTAAAATTAATACTTTTTAGCAAATAAAAACTAAACTAAAACTATGCAACTTTAAAATTGACTGAAACTAAACTGAAATATACACACACACACATTTTCTAAGCCAATTATCCTTCTGGCTCACGGGGGGAGCCGGAGCCTGTCCCAACGGTCATTGGGCGGGGGGCAGGAAACACCCCGGACAGGTTGCCAGTCTATCGCAGGGCAGACAGACAGACAGACATACACATTCTTAAATTCCTAAACTGAAATAAAAAAATTAAAAGCTAAATAAAAATGAAAAACTAAATAAAAACTAATGAAGAATTTGTAATTACAATAATGCTGTTTCATACACTGCAAAAAAATGAAATCTCAGCAAGTAAATGATCTTATGATGAATAAAAATCATTAAAATATTAGATGCATTGACTAAATCTAGTCAAAACGATCAAAATATCAAAATATCTAATATTTCTCATTATGAGAGTGTTGTAAGAAAAACATAGGATCAATGTGAGATTATTCAACCCACCTCTAAACACATGTACTTGTTTTAAAGTCTTATTCCATCTGCAGTTTAGTCTGCTTGTTACATGCAAATGTCCAGAAATAGATTGAATAATCTTATAAGATTCTCATAAAAGAGGAATGTAAGATATGATTCTAGATTTTACGATGCTTTTACTTTGTACTTTTAAAGATACTTTATGCAGTGTAACAAGATTCCCAGGACCAAACACAGACCCACAACAGCTCCATTTTACCTCATCTGACCACAGAACATGATAGTTCCACTGATGATAATTGAGCATCACACAGTTACGTTTGTGGTTGGACAACGGCCAAGACTCTCGACTCGAAGTCCTTTAGTTTAGTGCTGTTGTTTAGATAGAAGATTTTTTCAGGTGCAAAGCCATTTTTCTAAAAGTCGTTGGTTCGGTTCATAAAGATCAACATCCTTCATCCATGAAACAGGAAATCATGGAAGACCACTTGAGACATAGATGAGCCAAAACTATAACACTATACGTCCAGATGTTTCCAGACAGTCTTTATAGTGAGTCAGTTCGGTCACTTTAAGGTCACTCATTACTGACACAGTGATTGTATCCTCATACAAAAGCACTGACCAATAGAATGGGACACTCTGGAGCAGCCACACATGAGCGTAAAGTCACCATGCCCGATGCTAAGCGTGGGCTAGAAAGGTCTAAAGCCCCCCAGCATTGGGCTGTGGAGCAGTGGAACTGTGTTCTCTGGAGTGATGGAGCTCCATCCAATACCTTCGGCATGAGTTGAAGTGTCCAGAACTGACCAACTAACATCAGGACCTCACTAATGCTCAATCAAATCCTCACAGCAATGTTCCAACATCTAGTGTAAAGCCTTCCCAGAAGAGTTAAGGCTGTTACTGCAGCACAAACTCACTATTAACACCTTCATTTCAGAAGAAACACTGGAGAAGCATGTGTCTACAAACTCTGAGACATTTGCGGTCAGTTTCCCAGACAGGGATTAGGCCTAGTCCTGGACTGCACAGCTTTAGGAATAGAAATTCTCAATCGACAGGAAAATGTAGTCCAGGACTAGGCTTAATCCCAATGAGAGAAACCGACCTATAGTGTAAAAACTATATAGTGTTCAGATTTTCAGGTACCATGAATTGTAACAAATGTGTTTTGAGAAGAATGTTTATTATTTATATGGTTCAGGCAAAAATCATTGTATAGTATAAAGGTATCGTCTGTCATCTGTACCAAGGGGGTCATTACTTCTAGAGGGCACTCTTTAAAAAATAAAGGCTCCTTGATGGTTCTTGACTTGTACAGTTCTAGGAAATGTTTGTGTGGAGGCTCTTTAAACTTTAAAAAAAAAGTTTTTTTACATTTTTTTACAGAACCATTTTCTGCACAATAAATTGTCTTACTATCACAATATGACTTTCCACAATAGACACATCATTAAGGGCTGCGATGACAGAACAGACCAGAAAGCGCCAAAGTGAGGCATTTAGATTAGTCAGAATAAACATGTGTCTTTGCGTTGGGCTTCAAATATGCTCTCTTTGTATTGCTAGCCTGTAAATGAAATGCTAAAGGAATGAGGAATTCGAAATTAGCCATTAATAAAGCAATTATAACAATCAGCCACTAATTATTATTTGAAAATAAAATAAAAATATTTGATTACATAGAACGGAGTATTAGTTGCTATCCACTTCCGTCTGTTATACTCGTACCCTGGTGTAGGTCGTATCACCCAGTGGCCGGGTTTTGACCACAGGGCAGTTGTTAGCTGGATGGTTGAATATACATTTGTAAGTTTGACTATTTGGGTGCCCCCCTAATTTGGACCCCCAAATTGTTAACATCCTATCTAGTGAACTGCTTCTCAACAGCTTTAGGGTCCGAGTTAGGATTTGAACCAGGATTATAATTAAGACCATGGTAAAGGTTAGTTTTAGGTGTAACATTGAGGTTAAGGTTAGGATTACGATTAGGATGAGTGAAAATTAAGATGAAATTAATAGGTATTTAAGTGAATCTACAGGTGTCTACAGTGGGCTGTCCAAATAAAGTATTGCTCCTTTGTAAAATTTTGTAAATAATGTTCATGCAAACATTTTATTTACAAATATAGCTAAAGCACACACTCTCAGAAATAAACGTACTAAACTATCTCTGGGTGAGTCCCCCTCTTGTCACCCTCAGGGTACATCTCAGTACTTTTAGTCAGGGAACATCATTATAGCATAATTATTATATGAAATGATATTTTCTAAGCTGTACTGACTCCACACACCCCGTCTCGCCTCCAGGGTTTTATTGTATTGTTCTGTTTTAAACATTCGGTTATGAAAAGATACTAATGTGAATTTTTCACCTGGAAAAACTTATTTAAGGTTCACAATCAGACCTTAAAACCACTGTTGAACCTTTGAGGGAATATTTACACTGTTTGGACCTTGATGAACGAACAATGTACCTGCGCAGTACCTTTATTTCTTACACTATTGTGTGCCAGTAGCTCCCCCTAGTGGACAAATCATGAGCGAGTGAGTGAGTTATGAGCCAGGTCCATGAGATGATTTGCATCTAAAAATGTAGAACAGTTAAATGTGTCCAGAACGATGAACGGAGCTGGAGAAGGTTCAGAAATACCGACGAGGCCGTACAACATCAAGGTCGATCTACGCTGTATATTAACGCTGTCCAAAGGAAAACATGTCTCTCCAAATTGGTAAGTTTACAGAAAAGGGCAAAACATTCTTTAACTTTCAATTCAAGTTAATGTAAATAGATTTTATTCCAACTGATTTTGGAGCATTTCTATTGGTCCATTCATCGTGAAATGTTCACACAATGTACGCAATGTAAAAGTCGTGTTTAAATGATGTAGAAAAATAAAAATTCACAAAAATGGAGATGTTCTTTGGACAGGAGCGATACGTTATTACTGAATAAAACAACAGCAGCTCTTAATATGACATGCGGCTCCAAACTTCGGTGCACATTCACAGTAATCGAGTTTGTACACGTTCACATGTTCTGTTCAGGCCTCCTTAAATACATCCAATCCGATCGTGGCTGTAATCTGGCATAATCGCTTCCGAGG